CCTCCCAGGGCTTACGTGATCTGTACTGATCCCCACCCAGCAACTCCCTGGCCCCGTCCCCTAATTCTCTCCCTCTCTCCTTCTGCTCCACTGGCCTCCTTCCAGAGCCTCAGACACACCTCGGACACTTTATTCTGTTGTTTCTGCCTACAATCCTCTTCCCTCAGCACCTTGGCCAGCTCCTTCCCCTCCAAGTCTTTGCTCAATTTTCATTTAGAAGGCCACCCCTGACCGTAATATTTAACATTGCCTTCTGTCCCCATGCCCACCATGCTCATTTCTTCTTTACTTTCTGCCTTCTTTTTTTCAAGATCTCACTGTCACCAAGGTTGGAGTGCACTGACACAATCACAGCTCACTGCAACCTCAAATTTCCAGGCTCAAGCAATCCTCCCACCTCAGCCTCCCGAGTAGCTGAGACTACAGGTTCATGCCATCATGCCTGGCTAATTGTTTTAGTATTTTATTTTATTTTGAGACAGAGTTTCACTCTTCTTGCCCAGGCTGGAGTGCAATGGTGGAATCCCAGCTCACTGCCACCTCCACCTCCCAGATTCACGTGATTCTCCTGCCTCAGCCTCCCAAGTAGCTGGGATTACAGGTGCGTGCCACCATGCCCAGCTAATTTTTGTCTTTTTAGTAGAGACAGGGTTTCGCAATGTGGCCAGGCTGCTCTCGAACTCCTGACCTCAGGTGATCTGCCCACTTCGGTCTCCCAAAGTGCTGGAATTACAGGCGTGAGCCACCATGCCTGGCCAATTTTTTCATTTTTTGTAGAGACAGGGTCTTACTATGTTGCCCAGGCTGGTCTTGAACTCCTGGCCTCAAGTAATCCTCCTGCCTAAATTCCTAAAGTGCTGGGATTACTGGCATGAGCCATCATGCCTGGCTTCATGTTCATTTCTTCTTGCTGCTGCAATATAGTTTGCAGTTTTCTACATTCAGTGGCTTAAAACACCACAAATGTACCATCTTACAGTTCTGGGGGCCAGAAACATAAACTAGGTCTATTAAGGCTAAAGTCAAGGTGTCAGCAGGGCTGCATTCCTTCTGGAGACTCTGAAGTGCTCCCTTGGCTTTTTCACCTTCTAGAAGCCACTCCCATTCCTTGGATCATGGCCCCGACTCCATCTTCAAAGCCAGAAGTGAAGCATCTTCAAATCTCCCTCTCTTACCTCTGCTTCCATCACCACATCTCCTGCTCCACTTCTGAATCTCCTACCCTCTTTCTTTCATAAAGACCCTGCGATTGCTGGGCATGGTGGCTACCACCCATAATCCCAACACTTTGGGAGGTCAAGGCAGGAGGAACACTTGAGGCCCGAAGTTTGAAACTAGCATGAACAACATAGTGAGACCCACCTCTAGAAAAAAATAAAAATAAATATTAGCCCGACATGGTGGTGTGTGCCTGTAGTCCCAGCTACTTGATAAGCTGAGGTGAGACAATCGATTTAGCCCAGGAGTTTGACATCAGCCTGGGCGACATAAACTAAATCCCATCTCTACAAGGATGAGGTGGGAGGATCACTTGAGCCCAGGAATTTGTGGCCAGCCTGGGCAACACAACAAGACCCCATCTGGCCAACATGGTGAAACACCGACTACAAAAATGAGCTAGGCATGGGTGACATGCATGTGTAGTCCCAGCTACTTCGGAGGCTGAGGTGGGAGAATCGCTTGATCTCAGGAGGTCAAAGCTATAATAAGCTATGATACATCATCGCACCCCAGCCTGGATGACACAGGGAGATTCTGTCTCAAAAAAAAAAGAAAAGAAATATAGCACACCAGCCTGGGCAACAAAATAAGACCGTCTCTCTCAGAAAAAAAGAAAATAAACTGTTTCTCTGAGTTCTGTAAACTGTTCTAGCAAATTATTAAACCCAAGAAGAGAGTTATGGGAACCCCTGATTTGTAACAGGTTGGTCAAAAGTACAGGTGACAACCTAGGACTTGCCACTGGCATCTGAAGTGAGGACAGTCTCGTGGGACTGAGCCCCTAATTTGTGGAGTCTGTGCTAAGTCCAGGTAGTATCAGAATAAAATCATGGGATACCCAGTTAATATCCAGAGCATTGGAGAATTTGGTGTAGAAACTCCATACATACATTCAGTCAGAAGTGTGTGAGTAGAGACAAACACGGGCTTTTCTGTCACCTGTCTACCTGCTTAAATGCATAGGAGAGGCAATATGTGGTGCTCATGAACAAAGCAAGCATTAAAGTCCGACCAGACCCAACATTTGACTCAGTCTTAATATCTAGGTGAGCTTGAGCAAATCACTCATTATTCCTACGTCTTGATCACTTCATTCATAAAATGGGGATAACTGTGGCACCTACCTGTGATTCTGTGAGAATTACTGAAATACTATGCTTGGTGTTATTGTGATCATTATACCTATTCCAAACTATCTGACAAGGACTGTGATGGATGATAACATCAAAAAATTAGAAACTGTAGTCAGGTCTCTCAGGCAAAATTCCATACAAGCAGACTACTGTCTCTACAAAGCATTCCTGCCACACTTAATTCATCATTCCCTGAACAAAATGTGACATCTTCATTGTCCAGGTCTGTACAGTGCTGGTCTTCCTGCCTGAGCAGCTCACTTCATCCCATCCCAGCCCATTCTTCATCCCTCCACCTCCCCCTTCCCTCCCCACTCTCATACAACTCTTCCTCATCTTTCAGGACTTGGCTTCAAGGGTCACCTTAATTGGAAGCTTCTCTCACTGTCCAGAAGAGCTTCCCACTGCACTTGATGCATGCACTATTATTTGATCATTTTTGAGTTACAGTGCAAGTATTTTTGTACCTGAATAACATGTTGCCCAGTCAGTCTCTCTTCCTGGATTCAGAAGTCTTTCATGGTAGATCCAGCTGGAAGTGACAAAAAGACATTCTTTTGAAATAAAGGGATGACACAGATAGACGGAAGTTTTAAACGTCTTAAATGGTATGCGTGTGAAAATTAAACAAAATTCAAAGACTTGTGGGGAACATTTAGGAGGGAAAGTTACTGGGAATGTCATAAAAGGTTAATTTGTATTTTATTTTATTTTTTGAGACATTATTTTTATTTTATTTTTTATTTTCTGTCACCTAGGCTGGAGTGCAGTGGTGCAATTAGGGCTCGCTGCAGCCTCGACCACCTGGTCTCAAGTCATCTCACTTAATTTTTATTTGGTTTAAGGAATAAGTCTTGGTTGAGGGTGGTGGCTTACGCCTGTAATCTCAGCACTTTGGGAGGCCGAGAGGTATATTACTTGAGGCCAGGAATTTGAGATCAGCCTGAGCAATATATTAAGACCCTGTCTCTACCAAAAAACAGAGTGAATGTGTGGAAGACAATTTTTCCACAGACTGGGAGTGGAGGGAATAATTTCAGGATGATTCAAATGCATTACATATACTGTGCACTTTATTTCTATTATTACTACATTGTAATATATAACGAAATAATTCTACAACTCACCATAATGTAGACTCAGTGGGATCTCTGAGCTTGTTTTCCTGCAACGACACTGTCCATCTAGGGTGATGGGAGACAGTGACAGAACATCAGGCATTAGATTCTCATAAGGAGTGCACAACCTAGATCCCTCGCATGCATGCTTCACAACAGGGTTCGTGCTTCTATGAGAATCGAATGCTGCTGCTCATCTGACAGGACACGGAGCTCCGGTGGTCATACAAGCGATAGGAGGGGCTAGAAATACAGATGAAGTTTCCCCTCACTCGCCTGCTGCTCACCTCTGGTTCTATGGCCCTTTGGTTGGAGACCGCTGCTCAAGTGCATTCGAAAGGATCCATGCCATGCCATTCTTCAGAGTCATCTTTACTGTGGCAGTGGTCAACTGTAGCACCCCTAAGCTCACAGGGCATACGCTTCACCTGGCATTTCACCACAATCAACAGTAAGTGGTAGCTTGAGTCATTGTGAGGTCACTTCCTGGAAATCACCAGCATCCTATATCCCATTAGGAAGGAGTTCAGCACTGCTCCTTGGATAACCAAACCTATTCCCAAATCCTATCTGTGTGGGTCTATCTCCTGGTACCCTTCCTAGCATCAATTCTGTATTTGTAGGAGTCCAATCAGGAGACACAAACAACTCAAAAGTTTAAACTGGAATGAGCAAGGTGGATCACACCTGTAATCTCAGCACTTTGGAAGGCCAAGGTGGGTGGATTGCCTTGAGCTCAGGAGTTTGAGACCAGTCTGGGAAATATGGTGAAATCCCATCTCTACAAAAAACACAAAAATTAGCTACGTGGTGGGACTTACCTGTAATCCCAGCAACGTGGGAGGCTGAGGCAGGAGAATTGCTTGAGCTTGGCAGGTGGAGGCTGCGATGAGCAGAGGTTGTGCCACTGCACTCCAGCCTGGGTGACAGCGTGAGACCCGGTATCAAAAAGAAAAAAATACATATATGTCAATTTAATATAAAAGTATTGATTTTGGCCAGGCGAAATGGCTCATGCCTGTAATCCCAGCACTTTGGGAGGCCAAGGCAGGCAGATCACCTGAGGTCAGGAGTTCGAGACCAGCCTGACCAACGCGGAGAAACCCAGTCTCTACCAAAAATACAAAATTAGCTGGGCATGGTGGCACATGGCTGTCATCCCAGTTACTCAGGAGGCTGAGGCAGGAGAATCACTTGAACCCGGCAGGCGGAGATTGCGGTGAGTCGAGATAGCGCCATTGCACTCCAGCCTGGGCAACAAGAGTGAAACTCCATCTCAAAAGAAAAAAAGGTATTAATTTTAACAGAGGATCAGCATAATGAGGGACACACTAGCACGAAGTAAAGACATCTCTAGAGAATACAGAACTAGCAGAGGTCAGGCATTATGGCTCATGCCTGTAATCCCAGCAATTTCGGAAGCCTAGACAGCAGGATCGCTTGAGGCCAGGAGTTGGAGACCAGTCAGAGCAACATAGTGAGACGCTGTGTCTACCCAAAAAAAAGAACAATATTAGCCAGGTGTGGTGGTGGTGTACACCTGTAGTTCCAGCTACTTGGGAGTCTGGGATGGGAGGATCCCTTGAGCCTGGGAAGTCTACACTACAGTGAGCCAAGATCATGCCACTGAACTCCAGCCTAGGTGACAGAGTAAGACCCTGTCTTAGAAAAAGAAAAGAAAGTATTAATCCCCCTATGGGAATCTCCTCTTCTCCTGCCCTCTCAGGAACCTCACTTGTCAGTTCTTCCTCCCACTTTCCTGTATCTTTAACCTATCCCCCACTTTTAGCTCCTTCCCACCATCATTTAAATTACTCAAACTTCTTCTATTTTAAAAACCTCTTCCTAAACTCAGTGAGAGGTCTCCTGCACACCCACTGAGCCATCTGCTCCTCCTGGTGCCTTCGCTACAGCAGCCTGAACCATGTCTCTAATCCGTGAATCTCATCACGTTACTCCCCCATTTACATCACTTCTCCTTGCCTCCGGGATTAAGTCCAGACTCCTTAACAGCCCCTGCTCTGCCCTGCCTTGCAAGGCAGCCTCACTGCTTGCCCCTCTCCATTTCACCTACTATGGAGTCCAGCTGAGCCTCATCTTTCTCCTCTGGGACTCTCTGAAGTGGGTGATGCCCTCTGCTTATAATACGCTTCCCCTTAAACCTCTACTCTCTTCCTGGCTAGCTTCAGCTCCTCTGTCACTTGTCCGCTTTGGCATCACCTCCTCACGGAAGACTTCCTTGACTCCCCAGATTCTCAGGAGCATGGCAGGTGAGGTGCTCCTCCCATGAATGGATGGAGATTAGGGAGAGTGTGTTATTCATGCTTAATTCACCAGTGCTTAGCTCAGTACCTAGCACAAAACAGTTACTGTGGTAGCCAAAGTAATAACCCCCACCCCCACCAATTGTTCATGTCCTATGTTACACAGCACAATTACATAGGAAGGGGGAATTAAGAGTGCAGATAAAATTAATGTTGAAAATCAGCTGACCTTAAAACAAGATTATCCTGGAATATCTAGAAGAGTCCATGTAATTACAAGCATTCTTTAAAAGTGGAAGAGGGAGGCAGAAGGTTAAGAACCAGAGATAGTGGGCACAGTGGCTCATGCCTGTAATACCAATACTTTGGGAGGCCAAGGCAGGAAAATCCCTTGAGTGCAGGAGTTCAAGGTCAGCTCTGGCAACACACTTGAGGTCCCATCTCTACAAAAAAATCACAACAAGATTCACAGAGTGTCATGGTGCTCACCTGTGGTCCCAGCTACTGGGAAGGCTGATGTGGCAGGATTGCTTGAGTTTGAGGCTACAGTGAGCCGTGATTGGACCACTGAACTCCATCCTGAGTGACAAGGCAAGGTCCTGTTTCTAAAGAAAAAAATGACATTGGAATCAGGGTCCCCTCCATCCTAAGGTGCCTACAAGGCATCTCTCTCTGCAAACGAGTAAACATCATCTTCCAACTCCTCACAGAGTGGAGGAGCAGGAAAACTCCCTCACCTCATTTCTGTGCCACTTGGGAGGTCTGGACAGCCCAATAACCAGCTCCTTGCTGATGATGCAATCAGGAAATGGCTCGAGTTGAGCTAAGGAGAATTTGGATCCTTCTTTTGGTTCTCAACAGGCAGGGTAGGGGCCAGGCATGGTGGCTCATACCTGTAATCCTTGTACTGTGGGAGGCCAAGGTGAGAGGATTGTTTGAGGCCAGGAGCTCAAGACCAGCCTGGGCAACATAGCAAGACCTCGGTGGCATGCACCTGTGGTCCCTATTACTTGGTAGGATGAGGTGGGAGGACTGATCACTTGATCCCAGGAGTTTCAGACAGAGCCAGACCATGTCTCAAAAAGTTAAAAAAAAAAAAAAAAAAAAAAAAGAGAGAGAGAGAGAGACTATAGGCAGGCACCACCACATTTGGCTAATTTTTAAATATTCTGTAGAGACAAGGTCTTGCTAGGTTGCCCAGGCTGGTCTAAAACTCCTGGCATCAGGCTGGGCATGGGGGCTCATGCTTGTAATCCCAGCACTTTGGGAGGCTGAGGCAGGCAAATCACCTGAAGTCAGGAGTTCGAGACCAGCCTGGCCAACATGGTGAAACTCCGACTCTACTGAAAATACGAAATTAGCCGGGCAGTAGTGGCGTGTACCTGTAGTCTCAGCTACTTGGGAGGCTGAGTCAGGAGAATCACTTGAACCTGGGAGGCGGAGGTTGCAGTGGGCCAAGATCGCACCACTGCACTCCACTCTGGGCCACAGAGTGAGACTCTGTCTGAAAAAAAAAACAGAAAACAAACTCCTGGCATCAACACATCTTCCTGTCTTAGCCTCCCAATGCCCTGGGATTATATTGTTTCCTGTAATTGAAGACACTTGTTCTTATACTGCTTTAAGGTATAAAAGAAAAAACAAAACATAATGACAAATGTTGGTGAAGGCCAGGCATGGTGGCTCAGCCTGTAATTCCAGAACTTTGGGAGGCTGAGGTGGGTAGATCACTCAAGGCCAGGAGTATGAGACCAGCCTGGGCGACACGGTAAAATCCGATCACTCCAAAAAAATATAAAAATTAGCCAGGCATTGAGATGAGAGAATCACTTGTGCCTGGGAGGTCAAGGCTGCAGTGAACTGTGATGGTGTCATTGGGCTGCAGCCTAAGAGACACAGAAGCCCCTATCTAAAAAAAAAATAATGTCAGTGAAGATGTGGAGGAATTGGAACCCACATACATTACTGGTGGGAACATAAAAGCGTGTAAACACTTTGGGTATTTCTTTTCCTGTCATTTCAATTGTTTTTTTTTTTTTTTTTTTTTTTTTTTTTAAATCAAGACAGGGTTTCACTATCTTGCCCAGGCTGGTCTTGAATTCATGGGCTCAATTCCTCCCATCGGAGCCTCCTGAGTAGCTGGGATTACAGGTGTGAGCCATCACACCCAACTGGTGTAGCCACTTAAGAAAACAGTCTGGCAGTTTCTCAAAATGTACAGTCATCATATAATGCAACAACTTCACTCCTAGGCATATATCCCAGAGAAATAAAAATACATATCCACACAAATATATATTGTACAACAATCTTCAGAGCAGCATTATTCATAATGGCCAATACATGAAGACAACCCAAATGTCCACCAACTGATGAACAGATAAACAAAATGCAGCGTGTCTCTACCACGGAGTATTACTCAGCAATAGGACGATGAAATGTTGATACACACTATGACATAAAGGAACTTTGAAAACATTGTGCTAAGAGGGAAAAAAAGCCACAAAAGATCACATATTGTACAATTCTATTTGTCCAGATTAGGCAAATCTATAGCGACAAAAAAATGAATCAATGGTTGCCTAAGGCTGGGGGCTAAGGCAGGTGGGGGGAGTAGGAGGTAGTGGCTAAGGGGTATGGATTTCTCTATAGGGTAATAAAAGATTCTAAAAGTGACTGTGGTGATCGATGCACAGCTCTCTGGGTATTCTAAAACCTACTGAATTGCAGATTTCAATAAATAAAGTGAATGGCATGTGAATAATATTTTAATAAAGCTATTATTTAAAATAATAGCACAGGTAGTCATGCCTGCCTGTAATCCCAGCAGTTTGGGAGGCTTAGTCAGGAGGATCACTTGAGGTCAGGAGTTTTGAGCCTAGTGTGAGCAACCTGGCAAGATCCCATCTCTATGATAAAAAATGAAAAAATTAGCTGGGCATGGTGGCACATGCCTGGAGTCCCAGCTATTTCGGAGACTGAAGTGGGAGAACTGCTTGAGTCCAGGAGTTTGAGGCTACAGTGAACCATGACCATGTCATTGTACTGCATACTGAGCAACATGAGCAAGACCCTGTCTCTAAAAAGGAAGGAAAACAAATGCAAGTTTGTATCACTTTGTGAGTGCAGCCAAGTTGGAGGAGAAACAGACGAGAACAAAAGAGCACTGAATAACGAGGGTGAGTGGCTGGTTAGGCTCGGTTGCTAGCTAAGTGGTTTGTAAACAATTCATTAGTAAAGTTACAGCTCTGGGGACAGTCATGCAAAGAATGAATGCTAAATTCATTACAAATGCCCATGGTCTTTCTTTACATGCCTTCTAGTGAAAAATTCCTAAGTGCCTAAATAGCAAGTCTGCAACAATACCAGCTATTTATTAAAGACTACGAAAAAGAAATGGAGGCTGGGCCTGGTGGCTCACGTCTGTAATCCCTGCACTTTGGGAGGCTGAGGCAGGCAGATCACCTGAGGTCAGGAGTCCAAGATGAGCCTGGCCAACATGGTGAAACCGTGTCTCTACTAAAAATACAAAAATTAGCTGGGTATGGTGGCGGACACCCATAATCCCAGCTACTCGGGAGGCTGAGGCAGGAGAACTGCTTCAACCCAGAAGGCAAGGGTTACAGTGAGCTAAAATTGCACCACTGCACTCCAGCCTGGGCGACAGGAGCAAGACTCTATCTTAAACAAAAAAAAAAAAAGAAAAAAAGAAATGGCATCTTCTTCAAGAATGACATAGTTTTTCATGATAAAGCTCTAATTTTGCATTTGTTCAAGTATTGATTAGATTTACCCAATATGACACCAATCTTGGATAAAGTACAAACAATACAATTTCATTTTCTCAATAATCAAAACTGACTAGGTAGTCTAATATCAATTCCGATCTTATTAAACAATGATCAGATTTTTAAAATTATGGAATGATGGAGCAAATAAGATGTTACAACCTGTTCCAAGGGGAATTCCAAAACCCACACATATCTGAGACCATCAAATATGATGAAATATATTTGATTACTATACTGAAAAATAAACTGATTATAAAGCCAACAACAGTTGGGCAGGGGTCTCCTCATCCACAGCCACACAAACCCGATCATGCAGCTATGTGGTTGCAAGGCCTACATAGCCTAGAAGGGACTGGTCTGACTTGGGATTTCATTTCATTTGTATTTGTATTTTGAGACAGGGTCCCACTGTGTCACCCAGGATGGAGTGCAGTGGTATAATCATAGCTCACTGCAGCCTTGACCAACTGGGCTCAAGAGATGCTCCTGCTTCAGCTGCCCCAATACCTGGAAATACAGGCAAGTACCACCATGTCAGGCTTTTTAAAATCATTATTAATTTTTTTAGAGAGAGAAGTCTTAATATGTGGCCCAAGCTGGCCTCAAATTCCTAGCCTCAAGAGATCTGCCCACCTCAGCCTCCTGAGTAGGTATACACCACCATGCGCCGCTATATTTATTTTATTTTATTAAATTTCTTTCTTTTATTTTTGGAGAGAGGAGGTCTTACTATGTTGCCCAGGCTGCTCTCAAACTCATGGCCTTAAAACATACTCCCATCTCTGCCTCTCAAACTGTTGGAACTATACGTGTGAGCCACTGCCCCTGGCCTGACTTAGGATTTTTTTTATCTAGCATCCTTTACTTCGTAGGATTGGGAAAGGCAGTAGGGTTTTTTTTTTAATTACTTAATAATTCAATTAGAATCAAACTCAACCTTGACCCCTGCCTTCTCTCACAGCTCACATCCAGTCTGTCAGGAAATCCTACTGACTGACTTCAACATGTATCCAGACTCTGACCATCTCTCACTACCATTGTGCACCAGGTCAGGACCACTATCATCTCTCACTGGGATGTTGCCACAGTTTGGCCCCCATGCTTCTACACAAATCTTCCCAGAGTCTTTCTCAACTTGGCAGCCAGGGTGTGCTTTAAATCAGGAGACAGATCATGTCGCCTCTCTGCTCAGAACCCCTCGGTGGTTCCCATTTTAGTCAGAGTAAAAGCCAAAGCCCCAGGAATAGCGTCCCAGGGCTTACACGATCTGTACCGATCCCAGCCCAGCAACTTCCTGGCCTCCTCGCCAACTTCGCTCCCTCTCTCTCTTTGCTCCACTGGCCTCCTTCCAGAGCCTCAGACACACCAGGGAGTTTCCTCCTAATGCCTTTATCCTGTTGACTCAGCCTACAGAGCTCTTCCCTCAGCACCTTGGCCAGCTGCATCATCTGCCTCAAACTTTTGCTCAATATTCACTTATGAGGCCAACACTGACCACTCTACTCAACATTGCCATTTGTCCCCATTCCCATCATGCTCATTTCTTTCTTTCTTTTTGAAACAAGGTCTTGCTCTATTGCCCAGGCTGGAGTACAGTGGTGCAATCATAGCTCACAGCAACCTCAACCTCCCGGGCTTAAACAATCCTCCCGCCTCAGCCTCCCTAGGAATTGAGACTACAGCTGCATGCCACAATGTCTGGCTATTTTTTTTTTTTTTTTTTGAGACAGAGTCTCAGTCATCCAGGCTGAAGTGTAACAACGCGATCTCGGCTGACTGCAAAGTCTGCCTTTCAGGTTCAAGTGATTCTCTGCCTCAGCTTCCCGAGTAGCTGGGATTACAGGCACCACACCTGGCTAATTTTTGTATTTTTAGTAGAGATGGGGGTTCACCATCTTGGCCAGGCTGGTCTTGAACTTCTGACCTCATGATCCAACCCCCTCAGCCTCCTAAAAGTGCTGGGATCACAAATGTGAGCTACCGCGCCCAGCCTTTTTTAAAAAAAACTTTTTTAGACATGAGGTCTCATTATGTTGTCCAGGCTGGTCTTAAGCTCCTGGGCTCAAGCGATCCTCCTACTTCAGCCTCCCAAAGTGCTGGGATTACAGGCATGAGCAACTGTAACATAAAGCCCCAGCTTCATGTTCACTTTTTCTTGCTGCTACAACAAACTACCCTATATTTAGTAGCCTGAAACACCACAAATCTACCACCTTACAGTTCTGGGGTCCAGAAGCCCAACTAGGTCTATTAAGGCTAAAGTCAGGTGTCAGAAGGGCTGCATTCCTTCTGAAGGCTCTAGAGAGAATGTGCTCCCTTGCCTTTTCCAGCTTCTAGAAGCCACCCCCATTCCTTGACTCATCTTGAAGATGGCCCCTGACTCCATATTCAAGGCCAGAAGTGCAGCATCTTCAAATCTCCCTCTCTGACCTCTTCTTCCATCACCACATCTCCTTCTCTAATTCTGACTCTCCTACCTCCTCCTTTCTCTTATAAAGATCCTTGATTGGTGGGCATGGGGGCTCCCATCTGTAATCCCAACACTTTGGGAGGCCAAAGAGAAAGGAATGCTTGAGGCCAAGAGTTCGAGACCAGCCTGGGGAACATAAGAAGACCCCACCTTTATAAAATTCAAATTAAAATCAGCTGGACATGGTGATGCACGCCTGTAGTTCCAGCTACTGGACAGGCTAAGGTGGAGGATCGCTTTAGCCTAGGAAGTCAAAGCTGCAGTGAGCTATGATCACATCACTGTACTCCAGCCTCAGTGGCAGAGCGAGACTCTATCTCAAATATAAGAAAAGAAATATACATTTGGTCTCTGCCCCTGGTTCCTGGCATAGAGCTTCTAAAGCTCTTATAAAGTCCTTAGTGACGGAGGTAATAGGAGCATTTTCTGTTTTAATATTCAGTCTTAGTCCCAGTTTCCTGACACAAGGGCCTCTGAGGTCTTTCAGATCTGCAGCATGGTAAGAATGCATGTGGGATGCTGTTGAGCTGACAGAGTGGCTGCAAGCTCCCAGACTGCTTCAGGAGGAGGGCTGGCTGCCAGAGGAACCAACCACATTTTTTTTTTGAACGGAGTTTGGCTCTTGTAGTCCAGGCTGGAGTGCAATGGCACAATCTCAGCTCACTGCAACCTCCGCCTCCCAGATTCAAGCAATTTTCCTACCTCGGCCTCCTGAGTAGCTGGAATTATAGGGATGTGCCACAATGCCCAGCTAATTTTTGTATTTTTAGTAGAGATGGGGTTTTCACCATGTTGGTCAGGCTGGTTTCAAAATCCTGACCTCAAGTGATCTGCACGCCTCGGCCTCCCAAAGTGCTAGGATTACAGCATGAGCCACTGCACCCAGCCCCAACCACATTTCTTGAGGCTTGGAACTTTCAGCCTCACCTGCCGAACTCCAGGAGGCAAAAGGGACTGGAGATTGACTTAGCTACCAATGGTCAATCAATCATGCCTCCATAAAAACCCAAACAACAGGGTTGGAGAACTTCTGTGTCGCTGAACACAAGGAGGTGCTGGGAGGGTAGTGTGCCCAACAGAGGGCATGGAAGCTCTGTGCCCCTCCCCACTTACCTTGCCCTGTGCACCTCTTTCACTGGCTGTTCCTGAGATGGAGCCTTTACATTGAGCCAGTAACAGAAAATAAGCTGGCCAGATGAGGTGGCTCATGCCTGTAATCCTAGCACTTTGGGAGGCAGAGGTGGGGGGAAATCACTTGAGTCTAGGAATTTGAGACCAGCTTGGGCAACATAACAAGACCCCATCTATACAAAAAATAAAAGAAATTAGCCAGATGTGGTGGTGGGAACCCTGTAATTCCAGCTACTTGAGAGGCTGAGACAGGAGAATCACTTGAGCCCTGGAGGTTGAGGCTTCAATGAGCTATGATTGCACCACTGCACGCCAGCCTGGACAACAGAGCAAGGCCCTGTCTTTTTAAAAAAAAAAAAAAAAGAAAGAAAAGGAAAAACCTGTTTTTCTAAGTTCTGTGAGTTGTTCTAGCAAATAACTAAACTGAAGAAGAGAGTCATGGGAAACCCTGATTTCTAACTGGTTGGTCGAAATACAGGTGACAACCTAGGACTGCAATTGGCATCTGAAGTAAGGGTGGTCTTGTGGGACTTAGCCCCTAACCTGTGAGGTCTGCACTAACCCCAGGTAGTGTTGGAATGGAATTGTGGAATACCAGTTGGTATCCAGAGAGTTGGAGAACGGTGTAGAAACTCCACACATACATTTGGTTAGAAGTGTTTGAGTAGAGAAAACATGAGTTCTTCTCTCACCTGTCTACCTGCTTAACTGCATAGGAGAGACAATGCATGGTGCTCATGAACAAGGCAAGCATTAAAGTCTGACCAGACCTAACATTTGACTCAGTCTTAATATCCATGTGAGCTGGGCAAATCGCTCATTAACCCCAAGTCTTCATCATTTCATGCATAAAATGGGGAAACTGTGGCACCTACCTGTTTTTGTGAGAATAATGAAATACTATGCTTGATGTATTGTGATCATCACACTGTTTGACAAGGACAGTGATGCATGATAACACAAAAAATTTAGAAACTGTAATGAGGTCTCGGGCAAAATCATACAAGCAAATTACTGTCTCTACAAAGCATTCCTGCCACACTTAATTCACCATTCCCTGAACAAAATGGCCATCTTCATTGTCCAGGTCTGTACAGTGCTGGTTTCCCTGCCTGGGCTGCTCACTCCATCCCATCCCAGCCATTCCTCATCCCTCCACGTCCCTCTTCCCTCCCCACTCTCATACAACTCTTCCTCATCTTTCAGGACCTGGCTTCAATGTCACCTTAACTGGAAGCTTCTCTCACCCTCCAGAAGAGCTTCCCATTGCACTTGATGCACGCACTATTATTTGATCATTTTTGAGTTATAGTCCAAGTCTTTTTGTACCTGAATAACATGTTGCCCAGTCAGTCTCTCTTCCTGGATTCAGAAGTCTTTCATGGTAGATCCAGCTGGAGTGACAAAAACACATTCTTTAAAAAAAAAAAAAAAAAAAAAAAAAAAAAAGAAAAGAAAAGAAAAAAGAGGGATGACACAGACATACATCAGTACTTAAAAGTTTTAAATGGTATGTGAAAAACAAACAAAATGCAAGGGCTTCCAGCAGAAACATAGGAGGGAAAGTGTTACTGGGAAATATAACAGAAGGTTACTTTTTATTTTATTTTTAGAAAAAGGGTCTTGCTCTATCGCCTAGGCTGGACTGCAGTGGTGCAATCACAGTTAACTGAAGCCTCAACCTCCAGGGCTCGAGCAATATTCCCATCTAATTTTTATTTTATTTAAGAAACAGTCTTGCTCTTACCAAAGCTAAAGTGCAGTGGTGTGATCATAGCTTACTGCAGCCTCAACATTCTAGGCTCAAGTGATCCTCCAGTCTTAGCCTCCCCAGTAGCTGGGACTATAGGTGTACAGTGCAATGTGTAGCTCAATATTTTTTTAATTTTTAGTAGAGACAAAGTGTCGCTATGGTGACCAGGCTGGTGGTGATCTCCCACACTCAGGCAGTTCTCCCACCTCAACCTTCCAAAGTGCTGGGATTACAGGTGTGACCTGCCTGTAACACCACAGAGGTGTGACCTCACACCTGGCTGAGGGGGTTAATTTTTAATTATATAAAGAACTCAAAGCAAATATTAGAAGGAGCCTAAATGCCTACAGCAGCTGATGAGTAAACTGTGATACATCTATATAACAAAATATTATGCAACCATGAAAAGGATTAAGATAGATCAATAGGTATTGGCACAAATGTCCACGAAATATGAAAATGTGAAGTGATGTTCAATCACCATGTATGTGTCTTGAAGGATATGGCCCATTTTCTCAATAGCAATTATTTCCTGAGATAAGATTATGGGTCTAAAGACTGAAGGAAATTTTTCACTTATTTATTTAAAAGTATTTACTATTTTTATAATTTAATAAAAGATTAAACAGATCATCGCATTAGTAAAAGACAAATTAATTCCATAAATAAATGGAAAAGACATGGACAGCTCAGGCATGGTGGCTCACGCTTATAATACTAGTATTTTGGGAGGGGGTGGTGGGGGGATCGCTTGAGGCCAGGAGTCCCAGACCAGCCTAAGAAACAAAGCAAGACCTCGTCTCTACTAAAAATTAAAAAAAAACTGGCCAGGCATAGTGGCATGTGCCCATAAACCCAAGTACTGAGGTGGAAGGATCACCTGAGATCAGGAGGTCAAGACTGCAGTGAGTTGAGACTGTGCCACTACACTCAAGCCTGGGAGACAGAGCGAGACTTCATCTCAAAAAAAGAAAAAAAAAAAAAAAAAGGACAATAAAGAAATAAAGCTAAGAAGCTAACACAAGGAAAGATAAAACGTGTGACAAATAGGCCGGGTACGTGGCTCACGCCTGTAATCCAGCACTTTGGGAGGTCGAGGCGGGTAGATCACGAGGTCAGGAGTTTGCGACCAGCCTGATCAATACGGTGAAACCCCATCTCTACTAAAAATACAAAAATTAGCCAAGCATGGTGGTGTGTGCCTGTAATCTCAGCTACTCAGGAGGCTGAGGCAGAATTGCTTGAACCTGGGAGGCAGAGGTTGCAGTGAACCAAGATCATACCACTACACTAGAGCCTGGGTGACAGAGCGAGACTGTGTCTCAAAAAAAAAAAAAAAAAAAAAAAGGTGACAAAGTAATATGAATTCTTTTATTTATCACACAGAAAGTAACTTGTTAAATTATAATACCTGTGCCAGTGAAAGTGCAGTGAAATGGCCATTTTCTTGTACTATCAGTGGTGTTTACATTGTATATAAACCTTCCAGGATAAAGCTTGGACATTTTTTTTTTTTTTTTTTTTTTTTGACGCGGAGTCTTGCTCTGTGCCCCAGGCTGGAGTGCAGTGGTGCGATCTCGGCTCACTGCAAGCTCCGCTCCCCCGGGTTCACGCCATTCTCCTGCCTCAGCCTCCCGAGTAGCTGGGACTACAGGCGCCTGCCACCGCGCCCGGCTAATTTTTCTTGTATTTTTAGTAGAGACGGGGTTTCACCGTGTTAGCCAGGATGGTCTCGATCTCCTGACCTCATGATCCACCCGTCTCGGCCTCCCAAAGTGCTGGGATTACAGGCTTGAGCCACCGCGCCCGGCCTGGACATTTTTTTAAAATAATACAGACAGTTACTCATTATACTGCCTCCTCCAACTCCTGGCCTCAAGCAATCCTCCCACCTCAGCCTCCCAAAGTGCTGGAATTATAGGCTGACAGCCACCATGCCTGAAAGCTTGGCAATTTACATCAAGGGTAATAAGAATGCTCATACCCTGTCACTCACAGTAATCTCACTTCCGGAAATATCATCTTTGGATATAATTCAACCTAAACGAAAGGTGATATGCACAAACACAGTGAAAATCTGGGAGTAATTTTTTTTCTCATTTTTTAAAAAATATGGAATGCTTCACAAATTTGCATGTCATTCTTTCACAGAGGCCTATTGTTCCAACTTAAGTACATGTGCCACTGAAGCAAGCATGAGTAATTTAAGATAGAGTGGTTAAGTGAAATAAGGAAGAGATATGGGGAATTTAAAAAATCTGTGGTACTTATAGGCACCTAGTAACAGCTCAGCAAATTATTATTTTTATGGTAATTTCACTCAATTAAAAATTGTCATTAAAAATTACCATTGTCATGGAACATAATGTATCCTACACTATAATTGTAAAAACAGATACAATTTGTCCCTTGGTATATGGGGGAATTAGTTCCAGCTACCCCATTTCTGTGTATACCAAAATCCATGCGTACTCAAGTTTTTGAAGTCAGTCCTGTGGAATCCAAATATTTAAAAAATGGGAAAATTAGTGAGGTGCGGTGACAAGCACCTGTAGTCCCAGCTACCTGTGAGGTTGAGGCAGGAGGACTGCTTGAACCCAGGAGGTTGAGGCTGCAGTGAGCCATAATTGCACTACTGCAGTCCAGTCTGGGCAACAGAGTGAGACAGAAGGTTCACTTTTTAATAGAATTTTTCTGTTCACTTGAAGATATGGTCAGGACTGCGGCATAGGAAAATTTTTCATAAAATAACTATCTAATCCAATTAATGCTGGAGTTGGGGACAGAAAACGTTTTGGTGACTATTTATTCCTTCACTTGCCGTTACATAAACTATTGCCAGTAGGCATTTACCAACCAGAAGTGTCATCTCAGAGCTACTCACAATGAAAGGTGACGTCTGGGGCTCAGGTGTGTTGAGGTCCCCATGCCTGGGCTATGGGTGCTGAGTGGGACTTACTTGTCCATCCATTTTCTCTATTCCAGCACTGGGAAACTTGGGTTTATCCATCTTGATAAGAGGTCATTGAAATACCACTTGGCAAGAACCACAAATGGAAGAAAGGCCATGAAACCACAGGACAGTACTTGTTCTCAAGGGAATCTTTAGCTTAAGTGGCTCTGTAAAAGAGAAAGTATATTGTTGAAAAATAATTGCAGGTCAGGTGAGGTGGCTCATACCTATAATGCCAGCCACTGGGAGACAAAGGCAGGAGGATCCCGTGAGGCCAGGAGTTCAAGACCAGCCTGGGCAACACAGTGAAACCTCATCTCTACAAAAAATTACGAAATGAGCTGGGTGTGGTAACACATTCCTATACTCCATGCTACTCTGGAGGCTGAAATAGGAGGAACCCTTGAGCCCAGGAAGTAGAAGCTGCAGTGAGCTCTGATCTCACCACAGAACTCCAGCCTGGGTGACAGAGTGAGACCCTGTCTCAACACACACACACACACACACACACACACACACACACACACACACACACCCTTATCTCAGTCTGTCCAGCCTTGACTAATCAAAAGGGTCTTCTGGTTACAGAAGAAGTATGCTCTTTTATAGGACAGGGAGAGACCAGCAAGCTTGTTCACAGCCTTTTCCTCATCCTCTGCTTAGTTTCCAAGAACCCTCACAGTGAAAACAGAGTCCCTGGGAAAACAACCTAAATCTTTAGGTTACCAGGGGAGAAATATGCCTCCTTTGTCAATTAATAAATGGAACACCTGCCTTAAAATCCAGGGAGTTCTGCTAGAATGAATCACTCCCTAAGACCTTGACCTATGCAGGGAACACGAAAAACTGGAGTTTAACCAGGCGCGGTGGCTCACGCCTGTAATCTCAGCACTTTGGGAGGCCGAGGCGGATGGATCATCTGAGGTCAAACCTGGCCAACGTGGTGAAACCCCGCCTCTACTAAAACTACAAAAATTAGCTGGGCATGGTGGTGGACGCCTGTAATCCCAGCTACTTCAGAGGCTGAGGCAGGAAAATCGCTTGAACCCAGAAGGCGGAGGTTGCAATTACTTCTAGAAGAATTTCCATTAGCCCTTTGAAATCCTTCAACATTCATTAAGGTCAAAGAGTTGTCACCTAATTTAATCTGATGGGCATGTGACCAGAGTCTTTCTAGGGAATAGAGACTCCCAAACTGTTCAGCTGGGAAGTGAGGAGATAATGTATTACTCAAAATCAAAGGGAAATGAAAAGAGGCCAACCTAGAGCGTCATTATTCTTTCTTGGCAGGGAATGGATTCCAGAGTCATTCTGTGACCTTTACGTTCTGTGACCTCCTTATTAGCATCTAAAAGCTTCCAGTGTAGGATGCAGCCAGGTAGGTTCTCTTCTAATGTAATAAAATCTGCTTCAGCAAAGCTTATGCAGAGCCATCTCCAGACTCCAGAAATAATAGGCTATAAATTACAGGATCTCCCATTTGATATAATGAAGTATAAGCATGCTCCTGAATGACTCCTCTACATATTACTCTGGGTGACTTGAAGTGAATTTGATACAAGTACTGGAGCGAGCGCAAAGCAGAGCTACATCTAGGATTAATGTGCTTGGGCCCAGCTCCTCACTACTCACCTATGAGTACAGTTCCAGAACCTAAGTAGAGGGTGGGGGAACAAGGCTCCTGGCTTTTTTCCCTAATGCCTGCCATCTCTTTCAGATTTCTTATTTCTTTGCAAAGAAACTAAACAGGCACGACTAAAAAAACTAAACGATTAAACCCTACACAGAGAATCTCCAAAAATTCACAAAATATCATTCAAGACTGTTAGAAAGACAGCCTTGAGGATAACTTGATGTACCAGTGATCTACAATATTTGGGATCATTCCAAATTCCCGTCAAGGATCTGCCTATATCAACACAGGGACAAAGGACCAACCATTCAAATAGGCCCTGCTGCCAAAATGCCATCTCTTCATATTGTTCCATTTAACAAAACTGCAGCCTGTCATCTATCCTTAAGTCCCTTGGCCAATGGTACAGAGCCAGAGTATGCTACTCCCTAGCAGGAAATCAACAGGATGACCTACTAAACACCATTTAGAAGATGCTAAGGCCCATGAATTGCAACAGGAAAGAAAAGACAGATAATTAGTCAGACAGGTACATGCTGGGCCAAAAATGCACTACAACCCCCACCCAATTCTGCCTAATCCTAGCTGGACTGACACCAACCTGATGAGACAGGCCTGTAAGATCTCAAACTAAAACAGAAACTCCTGAACTGGGTTCTTGAGAACCCAGGAAGCAGCAGTAAACCATTAAAGAACAATTAAGGTCTGGAGGTGAGGGGGGAGTTTCAGATAAATGAAATGCTGGTAGAACACAGGGCCCAAAGGAGCAAAAGTTAACCTAAGCCCAGGTAGAACCTTGTTTACTAGAGTACTAGGCACGGGGTGTGGCAACTCTTCTAACCAAAGAGGCTCCACTGGGGTTGGGTTAGCAATCCAAGGTATGGCATGCATAGGGCTGGTGGAATTCAGGGGGACTGAAACAAAAGCTTCAGAACCAGAAAGACTATATCTGGGGACAGAGCACAAAACTCTCAAGAGATGAATCTTTGTAAGAGTGAGGCAGAACTATATAGCAGTTTCAGGAGATCTGCTGGTGCCCAGCAAGAGCTCCAAATGGGTTATATGCAGGGACGCAGGCTGTAGTCTCAGAAGAGGAGGTTCAGAAAAGTCATTCAGTCCAAGACCCCAAACTGTGTTCTCTAATAACAGGAATTAAGGCCCCCTAGAGAAATGGCTGACTCCATGTATGGTACAGTATATTGATCCTGGAACATCTTTTTTGCCAGAAAGCAAGGAAGTCATCAAAGTCCAACAGGATCACATCAAAAAGACAGGAGAGTCAACTTGAAGAGATATTAACCTCGATGAGACAATGTAAGCATCCAAAACAATAAAGACAACAATGGCCTGAAATACATCAAATGCAAACAATAATCTATGAGTTCATGATGATATTCAGAAAAAAAAGCTATTAGTCACTAAAGGGAAGGTTACTAGGTCACTAACTTACTACTCTGAAAAGTGACTTAAAATGAGAGGTAGCGTGGAGCTATTTATTCAGTTTTTCCCTTACAAACATAAATTTTTAGGGAGATGAAAGTAGATGAAACAAATCTGGAAAAATGGAGGTAACTGCTTAATCGGAGGGTTGGGTACATGGAGGTTCATCCTATTTCTTTTGTGTATGTTTGAACCCCCTACAAAAAAAGCACAAGACAGAATGTGAGCCAAGCAGCTTAGGGTTTAGGCAAGGCTTCTGCCTACAAGAGACACTAGGATATGAGGGGTAGTTTTAGCCCTGATGGGCTGAGCTAACTGGAGGTATATAGGGAGGTGCTAAATTGCAGAGGTATCATGTTGCCCAGCACTTGATCGAATCCTAGATGCTAGGACTGCTTGGTAGCATGCTTCCTAGGTGGTGGATCTGAGGCTACCTACAGAACTTCCTTTGTAGTCATAATTGGCTCAGAAACTACAAAAGGGCTTGCTCTTGAAAATGGAGTTGGTCTTTGTCCATTTCATGCTGCTATAAAAGAATGCCACAGACTGCATAATTTACGAGAAGGAAAAAAGGAAGGAAGGAAGGGAGGAAGGGAGGGGAGGGGAGGGGAGGGGAGGGAAGGGAAGGGAAGGGAAGGGGGAAGGGAAGGGAAGGGAAGGAAGGAGGGAAAAAGGGAAGGCGGGAAGGAGGAAGGGGAGGAAGGGAAGGAAGGGAAGGGAAGGAAGAGAAGGAAGGGAAAGAGGGAAAGAGGGAAGGAGGAAGGGAAGGAAGGTGGGAGGCGGAGAGAGAGGAAGGGAGGGGAAGGGAAGAGAACGGAAAAACAGGGAAGGGAAGGGAAGGGAAGCGAAGGGAACGGAAAGGAATGGAATGGAACAGAACAGAACGGAACGGAACAGAAAGGAAAGGAAAGGAAAAGGTGAAAGGAAGAAACTATTTCTTGTAGTTCTGGATGCTATGAAATCCAAGGTTGAGGGGCCTGCATCTAGTAGGGATCTTCTTGCTGCATCATCCCACGACAGAAGGCAGAAGGACAAGAGAGTGCAAGACAGCAAGAGGGCAAAAGGGGCTGAACTCTCTTTTATAATAAGACCACTCTGTGATTACTTATCTATTACCATAATAACAACATTAACTCATTCATGAAGGCTCTCTTATTAGGCCCCACATCCCAACTGTTGCATTGAGGATTGAGTTTCCAGCACATAAACTTTGGGGGACACACTTAAACCACAGCAGAGGACTTATGTAATTTCAACCACGAGGAGCTGGGAAAATCAAAGGCATGAGAAAGAGAGCAAAGGCTAGGAGAGAAATACGCACAAGTTAAGGAAAAAAGTCACAGTGAATCCTGTAGTGCAGGCTACTTTATCAAAAGCACCTAAAAAAGATCTCATTAACTGCCCCAACTCACCTCCACCCACATCTAAAGGGCCACACACAGCACCACCAAAGGCAGCACAATGAGAACAGCATTCTCCTCAACAGACGAGTTGTGAGTATCCATACACCTAACTCAATAGCTCCAGAACAGCCCTAAAACAGCTCCTCCCTAACCACCACTCAAGTCACCAGCTGGGAAACTATCCAGAAAACCCAAATCCTGACACACCACTACCAAACAAATTAAACGGCAAAGAACAACCCATTTAAACAGCAATGCCAGTTGCTGGGAAAAAAAAGGAATAATGAGTAGAGGAAAAGCAGACCTCTTGGGGTCCACCAAGACCCAGTCTCTCAGCTTCAGCACTTTCAAATGCAGAATCCTCTGGGGCCTGTGGACCTCCACGAGGCATGTTGTCCTCAAAGATAAATAAGCAGGCAAGCCGGCTAGAAAATTGCTAAGGGTATTATTCTTCAAAGAATCTTTTTAGGGTCAAAGAGGAATGTGTCTTACAGGCTATGTGTATTCCCCACAGATTCTGAGGATGATGTCAGTATCCCCTTCCAGATGTGTTAAACAATTTGCGGTCGCTTGTATTCCTGCCACTGAGTACCAGTGCTTTGCTAATTTGAACTGATTCCAGCTCACACTGACCCCGGCTCCCTGGATCTGGTTGCCATTAGCCAAGACTGTCATCCATACTATACCCTTTCAAAGAGTCCTAAAAACAGCTCTTCGCCTACTCTTCCAAGACAAGTAAAAATGTCTGCCAAAGAAATGGGGAAAAAAGATTGAGAGAGAGAAAACAATTAACATACTAACAAGAGAGCAAAAAGCGAAGGGGGAGGAGAAACTAGGAAAATCATACATGGGCTCACACCTTTTCCAAAGCTGGGCCAATATTCTTTTGCTTGTGTCTGAATAAGTCACCAATTTTAAACTGCTAATGAAAAAAAAAAAAAAGAGAATGAAAGAAGCAGGCCCAGGCCGGGCACGGTGCTAGGATTAAAGTGCCGTAATCCTAGCACTTTGGGAGGATGAGGCGGGTGGATCACCCAAGGTCAGGAGTTCGAGACCAGCCTGGTCAACCTGGTGAAACACCAGCTCTACTAAAAATACAAAAACTTAGCTGGGCATTGTGGCGCATGCCTGTAAACCCAGCTACTCAGGAGGCCGGGCAGGAGAACAGCTTGAACCCAGAAGGCAGAGAATGTGATGACCTGAGATCACACCATTGCCCTCAAGCCAGGGTAATGAGAGCAAAACTCGGTCTCAAAAGAAAAAAAAAAGCCATAAAATAACTCAGATTTCATTAAATACAACCCTAGTGGTGAATGACTACTGGTCAACAATAAAAAAGATGGATTACTCAGAACAGAGATTAAGAGTCCAGTAAGAATCCAGGAATCTTACCCTTAAATAATGAAAGAAATCCTTTCCTTGGAAAGTAATATCCTCTCAGGCCAGGAACTCCACTAGTAGACAGCCTTCTTAAAAAAAAACATTTCTGGCCGGGCATGGGTTCACGCCTCTAATCCCAGCACTTTGGGAGGCTGAGGCAGGAAGATTACCTGAGGTCAGGAGTTCAAGACCGGCCTGGCCAACATGGCGAAACCCCATCTCCACTAAAAATACAAAAATTAGCCTGGCATGGTGCTGGGCACCTATAATCCCAGCAACTCGGGAGGCTAAGGCAGAAGAATCACTTGAACCCAGGAGGCAGAGGTTACAGTGAGCCAAGGTCGCGTCATTGCACTCCAGCTTGGGCGACAAGAGTGAAAACTCTGTCTCCAAAAAAAAAATAAATTCCTTTGGGAAGAACTTCTACATAAAAATCTTCAACATGAGACTGGAAAAAACAGTATGGGATCATCCCCGGACCGTTGGCTTTTACAGTTGGAGCTGTAAGAACAAAAAGAAAAAAGGATGTCATTTAAACACAATATGTAGAAAAGAATAATTATTAAATCTGTATTGGTCTTTAACTTTTATACTTTGATCTTTAATTATGTTATTGTAATTGAGTCCAAAGAAAAATAGTATGAGTAAAATAAAAAGAACACCATAAATGCTAATATTCTGTTTATCAAAGTCTGCAGTGAAATATCCCATTAAATCCAAGTGCAGTGACTCACACCCATAATCCCAGAACTTTGGGAGGCTGAGACGGGTGAATCTCCTGAGGTCAGGAGTTCGAGGCCAGCCTGGTCAACATGGTGAAACCCCAACGCTACTACAAATACAAAAATTAGGCAGGCGTGGTGGCAGGGGCCTGTAATCCCAGCTACTCAGGAGACTAAGGCAGGGAGAATTGCTTGGACTCAGGAGGTGAGCTTGCCATGAGCTGAGATCACACCACTGCACTCTAGCATGGGCGACAGAACAAAACTCCATCTTAAAAAAAAAAAACCACACACACACACACACACAAAACAGCTAGCACATGACATTTGCTATGGGGAGACTAGGGATATGATCTTGCTGCAATCCTTCCATTTTAATAATTGCAAACAGTGTGATTCCATTCTGTTTTGTCCCCACTCCACTCCAGAGCCAAAACAAGAAAATCAATTATATTTCTATTTCTTTAAAAACATATCTAACTAAATCATCTAATTAAAAGATAATATGCACGGCTCCATACTAGTAATAAAAACTTCTTATGTCCTGAGTATCATGGACATTTGATGAATGCTTGTTCAGTTGACTGGTGTAGACTTCAATAATAACCTGTTCGATGCATTACGCCACATTAATCTTGCATCTCAAAAGTAGGACAAATATTGTTTTTTCAGTTTTGTCTACCCAAAATGTAGTATTTACACGTATTTAAAAATGGGTTAATAAAAAGAAAATGAGTTTGTTCTAGAGAGTATGAGAATTTTGAAAACATGAATTCTCCTGTCCTGGCACATAATTAATACTTAGAGGCATATTATTTCATGTGAAAGCTACCATTAAAAGAAATTAATGTTAAACGTTACTTCACATAATCTTCTAACCTGACTAAAGACTGAAGACCTACCTCACAAAGCTGATTTATCAAGTTGTAAATCTTCACCTGTTGAATTCATAAGTTCATCTCTGAAAGATAAGAATAATTCACTAGGCAATATTCAGCAAAGTAATATCCACTAGTACATATTTAACATTTCATCACCAAGGGTGGGTGTGAAAAGAAAAGACAGACTGGGCACCGTGGCTCACACCTGTAATCCCAGCACTTTGGGAGGCCGAGGTAGGCAGATCTTGAGGTCAGGAGTTCGAGACCAGCCTGACCAACATGGTCAAACCCCGTCTCTACTAAAAATACAAAAATTTGCCAAGCGTGGTGGCAGATGCCTGTAATCCTAGATACTCAGGAGGCTGAGGCAGGAGAATTGCCTGAACCCAGGAGGCAGAGATTGCAGGGAGCCAACATCATGCCACTGAACTCTAAGCCTAAGTGAAAGATCAAGTCTCCATCTCAGGAGGGAAAAAAATAATTAATTACTTAATTAAGAAAAGAAAAGACAATCGGGATGCTTGAGCACAACTAAATCTTCTTTTGAGGTTTCTATACAGTAACCAAACAAAATAATAATTGCAAATGGTCTCATCAGGTACTTCGTGGAGGATGTGTCCTCACAAGTAAACTGGTAACTTTGCAACCCACAGGTCTTTGAAACATATTACAATAATCTTAAATGGGATCCTTTAATATCACATTGCATTCAAGACTATCTTTCTCTACACATCTATAAAAATCATTTATTCCCACATAGGCTTTAAAATCTCAGGCTTAAAAACAAGACATGGATACTATTTTCTTTAGCAAAAGTAGCAGAAAACTGTGAAAGAAAATGTCAATTGCGTGCCAGTCAGGTGAGGGCAGTCTTCACATTTTAAAAGCTAACACCGGCATGACTTACTCAATGTTGGACCCAGATAAATTAAAAAGTAGAAGATAAAAATACCTAAAATAGGCCAGGTGCAGTGGCTCAAGCCTGTAATCCCAGCACTTTGGGAGGCTGAGATCACCCGAGGTCGGGAGTTCAAGACCAGTCTGACAAACATAGACAAACCCCAACTCTACTAAAAATACAAAATTAGACAGGCATAGTGGCACATGCCTGTAATCCCAGCTCCTCGGGAGGCTGAGGCAGGAGAATCGCTTGAACCCAGGAGGCAGACATTGCATGGAATCGAGATCGCACCACTGCATTCCAGCCTGGGCAAGGACAGCAAAACTCCATCTCAAAAAAAAAAAAAAACCATAAAATAACTCAAACTTAATTAAATATAACCCTGGTGGTGAATAAATATTTGTCAACAATAAAAAAATTTATTACTCAGAACAGAGAGGAGAGTCCAATAAGAATCCAAGAGTCTTACCTTTTAATAAAAAAATGAATCCATTCCTTTGACAGCAATATCCTCTCCAGGCCAGGAATTCCATTAGTAGACAGTCTTCTTAAAAAAAATTTCTGGCAGGGCATGGTGGTTCACATCTGTAATCCCAGCACTTTGGGAGGCTGACGCAGGAGGATCATCTGAGGTCAGGAGTTCAAGACCAGCCTGGCCAACATGCTGAAACCCCGCCTCTACTAAAATTACAAAAATCAGGCTGGCATGATGGTGGGCGCCTGTAATCCCACCTACTCGGGAGGCTGAGGTAGGAGAATCACACGAACCCAAGAGGCAGAGGTTGCAGTGAGCCAAGATAACGCCATTGAACTCCAGCCTGAGCAAGAAGAATGAAAACCCCATCCCCCACCACACAAAAAGAGTTCCTTTGGAACGGCCTTCTACATAAAGATCTTCAACATGACACTGGAACAAAGGGTATGGGATCATCACTGGACCTTTGCTTTTACAGCTTGAGTTATAATGACAAAAAGAAAAAGGGATATCATTTAAACACAATATGTAGAATAGAATAACTATTAAATTTGTATTGGTCTTTAACTTTTATACTTTTATCTTTACTTCTGTTAATATAATTGAGTCTAAAGAAAAATAGCAATAAAATAAAAATATTATTGTTCAAAACATTGAACAATACTCTTTTCAATGCATTACGCCACATAAATCTTGCATCTCAAAAGTAGGACACATACTGTTCTTCCAGTTCTGTCTACCCGTAAATGCAATATTTACATGTATTCGTAATGGGTTAATAAAAAGAAAATGAGTTCATTGTTCTAGAGAGTATGATAACTTTGACAACATGAATTCTCTTGTCCTGGCACATAATTAATGCTTAGAGGCATATTATTTCATGTGGAGGGTACCATTAAAAGAATTCAATGTTAAACCTTAAATAATGACTGAAATAAAAACAACAGTAAAAATGCTAATATTCTGTTTATCAAAGTCTGTAGTGAAATATCCCATTAAAGCCGGTTGTAGTGACTCACACCCGTAATCCCAGCAGTTTGAGAGGCCAAGGTGGGTGAATCACCTGAGATCAGGAGTTCGAGACCAGCCTGGCCAACAGTGAAAACCCATCTCTAGTAAAAATACAAAAAGTAGCCAGACATTGGGGAGGGCGCCTGTAATCCCAGCTACTCAGGAGGCTGAAGAAGGAGAATCGCTTGAGGCGGAGGCTGCAGTGAGCCAAGATCACGGAATTGCACGCCAGCCCAGGCAACAAGAGCTAAACTCTATCTCAAAACAAAACAAAACAGACAAACAAAAAACAGTAAGAGAAAACTGGAGCTAAGTCCTACTCATTGTATTTACTTTCCTAAAATAAAACAACATTATTAAAAAAATTATGGCCAAGCCCAGTGGCTCATGCCTATAATCCCAGCGCTTTGTGAGGCCAATGTGAATAAATCACATGAGGTCAGGAGTTCAAGACCAGCCTGGTCAACACGGTGAAACCTCAACTCTACTACAATTACAGAAATTAGGAAGGCATGTGGCAGGTGCCTGTAATCCCAGCTACTTGGGAGGCTGAGGCAGGTAGAATTGCTTAAACCCAGAAGGTAGAACTTGCCATGAGCTGAGATCACACTACTGCACTGCAAGGGCAACAAAACAAAACTCCATCTAAAAAAAAAAAAAAAAAAAAGAACTGCTAGCAGGTGCAATTATTCACAATATGTAGAAATTATTCTTTTCTACATACTGTGTTTAAATGATATCCATTTTTCTAATTGTTCTTATAGCTCAACCTGTAAAAGCCAAAGGTCCAGGGAGATGGGATATGATCTCACTGGTTAGCCTTCCATTTTAGTAAATCTAAACAGTGTCATTCCATTCTGTTTCGTCCCCACTCCAGAGCCAAAACAAGAAAATCAATTATACTTCTATTTCTTTAAAAACATATCAACTAAATCTAATTAAAAGATAATATGCATGGCTCCACACCCTAAAAGAAAACCTTCTGTCCTACGTATCATGGACATTTGACGAATGCTTGTTCAGTTGACCGGTGTAGACTTCAATAATAATCTGTTCAATGCATTACGCCAGATAAATCTTGCATCTCAAAAGTAGGACAAATACTGTTCTTCCAGTTCTGTCTACCTGTAAATGCAATATTTACATGTATTTGTAATGGGTTAACAAAAAGAAAATGAGTTCACTGTTCTAGAGAGTATGAGAATTTTGACAACAGGAATTCTCTTGTCCTGGCACATAATTAATACTTAGAGGCATATTATTTCATGTGGAGGGTACCATTAAAAGAATTCAATGTTAAACCTTAAATAATTATTTCACATAATCTTCTAATCTGACTTAAGATTGAAGACCTACCTCCTGAAGCTGTTTAATCAAGTTGTAAATCTTCACCTGTTGAATTCATAAGTTCATTTCTGAAAGGTAAGAATACTTAATATTCACTAGGCAACATTAAGCAAAATAATATCCACTAGTACTTATTTAACATTTCATCACCAAGGGTGGTTTTGATAAGAAAAGACAGGCTGGACACGGCGGCTGATGCCTTTAATCCCAGCACTTTGGAAGGCTGAGGCAGGCAGATCACGAGTCAGGAGTTCAAGGCCAGCCTGGCCAACATGGTGAAATCCTGTCTCTACTAAAAATACAAACATTAACCACGCAGGTGGCAGGCACCTGTAAGCCCAGCTACTCAGGAGGCTGAGACAGGAGAATTGCCTGAACCCAGGAGGCAGATGTTGCAGAAACAACAATCACACCACAGCATTCCAGCCTGGGTGAAACAGCAAGATTCTGTCTCAATCAATCAATCAATAAAATGTAAGGAAGAAGCATTTACTGTGCATGTATATGCCTGGTATTATATGAAGCACTTTAGTGTCTTATCAAATCTTCAGGATAGATCTTCAGTTCTCATGACCACAAAAGAGGACACTAAAGCTCAGACAGGAGAAGAGACATGGCCAGCCTGTGCCCCCAGAGCCTACAGTCTTACCACCAGGTGAGACCGTTACACTGCTTCCAGGTATCACATGTTGTGAGATTTTTACTTTAAAATGAACCAAAAAAAAAACAAACGCAAAAAAGGCATAAGCTATTAAAAAGTGGGAGAAACACTAAGAGAACCTTAAGCACATAACTAAAAATATTATGGAAATGTTACTGAATTCACTAGCAAATTTAATTCTAGATTTTCATTGAGGAGTAGGTTATATTATTCATGATGAAGAAAAAAATGTTCACTTTAAGTATATTAACATAAATACCATCAATATGGTTTATCATGTTTAAACGTTCACTTAAAGCAATTCAGTTAAAATTCTGCATCTCATACAATTTTATAGTTTGCTAGTAGGTTACAAGTAGTCATCCAAATAAAAACAGTAAAACACATGATGTTTTCCACTGGTTATTGCTCTTTTTAGGTAAGCACTTTGGTTATTGCTCTTTTTAGGTAAGCACTTGATATATACCAACAGACAGAGGATAATAACAAATTGCTAATTTCTTTCATCATTATATAAAGGTGGCTTCAGGATAGAATAGTATAAGTGCAATGATGAATTTGAAATCTAATGTCAACTCAGTGATGCAGCAAGATAAAGGTAGTGACAATAGGGGCACCTTGGTGAGTACTGAATTTTATTTATTTATTTATTTATTTGGAGATGGAGTTTTGCTCCTTTAGCCCAAGCTAGAGTGCAATGATGCAATCTCGGCTCACCACAACCTCTGCCTCACAGGTTAAAGCGATCCTCCTGCCTCAGCCTCCCGAGTAGCTGGGATTACAGACATGTGCCACCACGCCCATATAATTTTGTATTTTTAGTAGAGATGGGGTTTCTCCATGTTGGTCAGGCTGGTCTTAACTCCCGATCTCAAGTATCTGCCTGTCTCGACCTCCCAAAATGCTGGGATTACAGGTGTGAGCCACCACACCTGGATGAATACCAAATTAATGAAGCAGACTAAGAGAAACAATTCATTTAAAAAATAACATTTGCCACGGCACGGTGGCTCACACCTGTAATCCCAGCACTTGGGAGGCTGAGGCAGGTGGATCAGGAGGTCAGGAGTTCAAGACCAGCCTGGCCAAGATCATGATACCATCTCTATCAAAAATACAAAAATCAGCCAGGCGTGGTGGCTGGCACCTGTAATCCCAGCTGCTCAGGAGGCTGAGGCAGAGAACTGCTTGAACCCGGGAGGCAGAGGTTGCAGTGAGCAGAGATCACACCACTGCACTCCAGCCTGGGCGACAGAGTGAGGCTCTGTCTCAAAAAATAATAATAATAATAATAATTCAATGAAATCCCTAAGATGAAAGGCTTTGCAATAAATATGTAAATAAATTCCCAATCTCCATGCTGAAAGTTTAAAAGAAATGCTAATAATTAAAGAAACACAACTTTTCCTTAGCTTTGCAGCAATTTAGAAACAGAGAATGTTTCCAATATTTAGACACTACAAAGCACCTGACAAGGAGAAACATGTAAGGAGGCATGACTCACCGGCAGCCCTGGGCCTGTCCACGGTACCCCCATGATGAAGAGTAACTCCACTGTGTAAATGCTCATGAACACAGGATTACAGGAATTTTCCAGTTTAGACATACCATATTTTCTTTCAGACAATTCTTCAACTTGCTTATGTAGATCAGCAATATGATTATTCCATTTCTCTGAAAACTGAGCAAAAGCTGATTCTCAATAATACGTCCCTATGTCAGAGCAGCACTAACATGTAAGAACTTATTTCATATATTTTACATTCTAACAGTCCACATCATTTTACTGCTTTCAAAAAATTTTTTCCCTTTTTTGGTGGTTCTTAGAATTGGTTTAATGAGAGACTATTAGAGAAGTTGAAAAGCAGGAGGGCAGAAAAGTTCAATCAAATTAAACACGGTAACAGGGAGGCCACAATGAGGAGGTCTCCAGGGGTCTTTTAGCAAACTTCCTAAAACATGTCTCAACTGTGTGGAAATAAGTCTTTACAGCAGCCGGGTGTGGTGGTGCAGGCCTGTAATCCTAGCACTTCAGCAGCAGAGGCAGGCGGATGGCTTTGAGCTCAGGGTAACATAGCCAAAATCCCCCTCCCCACCCCCACCTATCTCTACCAAAAATACAAAACAGCCAGGCATGGTGGTGGGTGCCTATAGTCCCATCTACTCAGGAGGCTGAGGCAGGAGAATCACTTGAACCCAGGAAGCAGACGTTGCAGTGAGCCGAGACCATGCCACTGCCAGCCTGAACGACAGAGCAACACTCCACCTCAAAAAAGAAAAAACAAAAACAAAAACAAGGTTAAAAGGGACCCCAGACCTTAAAGGTACAAGTTTAAGAGGGACCCCTAAGCAAAAAATGCCAACCCTTTTTCTCTCAATCTTTGCAACACCAGGAGGGTGTAACAGTTTTGCAGCCTAGCTGTAGCAGGCTGATGCCCCCAAGATGCCCATATCCTAATCCCGGGAACTGGTGAACATGACCTTGTATGGCAAAAGGGGCTTTGCAGATATAATGAAGTTAAGGGTCTTTGGCTGGCTTGTACTGGCGGGGTTAATGTACTCACCCGGATCCTTATAAGAGCAGAGAAGGTGATGGAGAGGGTGGGAGGTGTAGTGACGGAAGCAGGAAACTCCAGTCATTCAGGACATGCAGCACAAGCTGAGAAGTGCAGGCCGCCTCCAGGGCCAGGAGACAGAATCTCCTGCAGAGCCTCGGAAGGCAACAACCCTGCTCCCACCTTGCTTCAGTGGGACTTACTTTAGAATTCTGGTCTTCAGAACTGTAAGGGAATACATTCGTGTTGTTTTAAGTCACTGTGTGGTAATTTGCTGCAGCAGCCACGGGAAACTAGTATTGTAGTGAAGCCTCAAAACCCATCTGAAGGGGCTGGGCTCGGTGGCTCATGTCTGTAATCCCAACACTTTGGGAGGCTGAGGAGGGCAGATCACTTGAGGTCAGGAGTTCGAGACCAGCCTGGCCAACGTGGTGAAATGCTGTCTCTACAAAAAATACAAAAATTAGCCGGGAATGGTGGCACATACCTGTAATCTCAGCTACTCAGGAGGCTGAGACATGAGAATTGTTTGCACCCGGGGTTGGGGGGTGGAGGCTGCAATGAGCTGAGATTGCACCACTGCACTCCAGCCTGGGTGACAGACCAAGGCTCCATCTCGAAAACAAAAACAAAACAAAACAAAAAACCCACCTGAAGAAGTTTCCAGTTCTGCCAGGAGTCCCCCACCCAACCCTCAGAAGCAGACATTCCATTGCTGTGGGCCATGGACAGGCAAAACGAAGCACCTCCTCCTGGCAGAGGCCTACCCAGGAGAAACCCAAGGGAAGGCACTGCCTGGCCAGGCTCTCTGCCAAAGCCATATTATGGTGTTTTTTGTTTTTGTTTTTGTTTGAGACACAGTTTCACTCTGTCTCCCAGACTGGAGTGCAGTGGCACAATTTCGGCTCACTTCGACCTCTGCCTCCCCAGTTTAAGCAATTCTCCTGCCTCAGCCTCTTGAGAAGCTGGGATTACAGGAACATAGTACGCCTAGCTAATTTTTGTATTTTTAGTAGAGATGGGGTTTTGCCATGTTGCCCAGGCTAGACTTGAACGCCTTACCTCAAGTGATCCACCTGTCTCAGCCTCCCAAACTGCTGGGATTACAGGAGTGAGCCACCGCACCCAGCACTCACCAAGGCAGGCTTTTTCCAGGGGATCAGTCCTGGTCTGGTCTGGCTCTGCCCACTCTCCCTCTCATCTAGCTGGAATCCTTAGCTCCTTCTCAGTAGAGGAGTGTGGACCCCAACCCCAGCTTGGTATGGTTCAGATCTGCGTTTCACTCATGGAACCTGGCTGCTCCCCAGGCCCTGGAGAAAAACAGGGTCTCTCTGCAGGTATGATACAGGATGGGCCTGTCCCCAGGACCCTGTGAGAGGGAAGCCCAATGTCCCACCAGATTGGCAGAGCTGGGAAAGAGAAAGTTTTATGATAGCCCTAAGGAAAAAAAGAGGCAGCAGAGGAAGCAGGACAGCACTCACATGGAACCCATGTCACTGCGTGAGTGAGGTGAGGGAGGAGTGCACCCCAGTGACATGAGGGGGAAGAGAGGCGCGGTTCCAGGGCAGCTTTCCCCCTCATTTTCTGCCATGTTACTCTGATCCCCTCCAGGTGAGCCTGCCCACTTTGTGCCCAGAAGCCTGTAGAAAAACACAGCACCAAATGGTTATGGCCCCAGGAGTGGGGCACAGCAGGGAGGAGACCTGGACAGAGGACAGGCAGGGGAGGAGGGAGTGGGCCTCAAACTCCTGGAGGGAGCCCTTCTCATGGGTCCTCCTTTTTGGCTTCTCCTTCTTTACCCTGGGCTGATCACCCAGGGAAGAACTGAAGCAAGGTTTCTCACCCTCAGGTCCAAGGGGTTCAACTACCGGGCCCTTAGGGAAGTGTGAGCCCCCTGAAAGGATGCAAGGTTTTTTTTTTGGAGATGGAGTTTCGCTCTTGTCACCAAGGCTGGAGTGCAGTGGTACAATCTCACCTCACTGCAACCTCTGCCTCCCGGGTTCAAGTGAATCTCCTGCCTTAGCCTCCAGAGTAGGCTGTAAGGTGTAAGGCCACCAGTAAGGTGGCTGCCACCACGCCTAATTTTTTGCATTTTTAGTAGAGATGGGGTTTCACCATGTTGGGCATGCTGGTCTCGAACTCCTGACCTCAGGTGATCCGACCGGCTCGGCCTCCCAAAGTTCTGGGATCACAGGCGTGAGCCACTACGCTTGGCCACAATGCAAGGTTTTGCATGGAGAGCATGTACATGCCTTTCTGGAAAACAGTCCACAGCTTATTCTCAGCAGGCTCCACAGTCAGAAAAGGTTAGAACTCTTGCTACAGAGCTGTGGGAGCACCTAGGTGAGGGGCCTGCCAAGGGCATTCTGGGGACTACCTGGGCACCCCTGAGCCCACTGTCCCCTAGGCAGGCTGCACTGCTTGGTATTTGCAGAGCTGAGGGGGTGGGGCACGTGGGGACTGTGAAATTGCCCTGAGATGACCCACAGTCCTCAGCTGGGAAGTGAGGGGTGCATCTCCTGCAGCATCCTCCATCCCTAGACCATGGGGCCAGGAGAACTGATCCTTTCAGCAAGTCAAAAGCCTATTACTGACTTCTTCCCTGGCCATGTAGACAGTGAACCAGGGTAGTCATATCAAGTAAATGCCTTGGTCTCTGTCACCGAGGTGACCAGTAGGCATTCCCAGGTGCAGTGAAGGTCCTAACACCAAGATATGCACCTGGCCACCTGAGGAAAGAGAAAGGACTATCCAAGGGGATGGGGCTGAGCTGGGTGTGGAGTGGTCCTTGTGGGTCTTGGTGAATGGGAGGGGGAGCAGCATGATCCAGACCTTGAGGCAGAAGGACAACCAGGAGACAGCCTGGAAAATGTGCTGGACCCACAAGGGCTCAAGGCTGGCCAGAGAGGGAGGTGGGATAGGCTGGAAAGTCCTGAGGTCTGAAGATTGGCCCTGGCAGAAAGAAGCCAGGTAAGGTGGGGTGTTACCTGCACCCTGGGGGCCAAGTGCAGGCCAGATCAGGCCAATTACCGGGCCCTTAGGGAGATGTGAGCCCCTTGAAATGGTGAAAGGTTTTTTGTTTTTTTTTTTTTTTGAGACGGAGTTTCGCTCTTGTCGCACAGGCTGCCACCTTTGCCCAGAGCAGGCACCAACATTTCTGGCTCTGGGTGTGACCTCAGAATGGGGAAAAGCCCCAACCCCCACCAGGACCACCTGCCGCCTAGACTACTTCAGATGCTGAACCCAAGCCAGGGGCAGGAAGCTAGAATGACACCTAGGTTAATCCCGATAAAGTCCCTGGCTCCCCCCAGCTATGGGGCTGAAGGGGAATTACAGCCCAAACCCCAGATGCTGACTCTCCAACACTAAGCCCTCAGTGCCCACAGGGAGATAGAATCAGCACACTATCCAGATGGGGAAATGGGCTCCGAGAAGTGCAAGAGCCTTGCCCAATGCCCCAGACCAGGGCTCCAGACCCACAGGGTTCTTTTGTCACTGTGTCCAGAGGGCAGCAGCTGCTCTGAGGTACCCACCTGAGCCTGGCAGTTTTCTCCAACTTCGGAAGCCCAGGAGCATGGCCCAGGTCCACAGATGCACCTGGCATGAGGTGCGCCCAGAGGGACAGAGGCAGATGAGTTTCGTCTCCTCCACTGGATTGTGAGGGCCTAGAAGGAGACAAGGGTCTGCTTGAGAAGGCACTGAATAGTGAGCAACTTGGGGCGGTTTCCCTCTGGATGGATCTGCAGTGCCTGGATGGAACCTGGCTCAGACAGAGCTCAGTTCTGCAGGTCCCTGAGGCATGGAGAGTTCACAGCTATCAAGTGTATGAGTCTGGATTCAAAGTCAACAAACAGCATGACTCGAAAGTCCCTGCCCTACCTGGATCACTCACCTCTTGGGAGTCACCCTTGCAGGCTCATCAGATACCCAGGCCAGCAGCACAGCCGGCCAGGACCAAGGAAACTTTGGGAGCCTCAGAGTACCCCCAGGTATTCCAACCTAAACCTGGCACCCCTGCCTCTCACCACCCTTCTTCTTGCTTTAACCTCACCCCCTACACAGAGCCTGGGCCACCTAACGTGGCATCAAACAGATGCCTCAATAAATCAGAGTCTAATTTTCGTGGAGAAAAAAAAAAACTTCACAGATATACATGCAAATTCAAAATATATCCTAAAGTACATATAAATTCAATATATATCCAATCATTGTGACTATGACAGTAGAATATTAAAATACTATTTTCAAAATGTATACAAGCTTAATGTTCTATTTATTCAAACTATTCAAAATACAAATCATCAACATAATTTGCCACTAACATCTCATTCAGTCCCTTCACAGGACACATGATTCACTGGGAGTTAATAAATTAGCAGCTGGCAGGCAGTGACACATAGAAAAAATGAAAACCAAGAGGTGAAATAGTTCTGAAATAAAAAGGGTTTTAAAGCTAAGAGAAATCATTGAATTACTAAGTCATTAGCACTAATTTTGAGCCAACTAACTAATTAATACGAGATGACACAGTGTCCTATGTTTTGGCAAATACAAACTATGTTTAAACAATGTCTGTAATGTGACTTTCAAAATGCTCCTGGCTTTACAAAGATGTGATTAAAATGTAGTAATACATGCTAAAACATTTCCCCCTGCAGAGAATGTTGTAACTTTCATCAGTCACACTGAGAGTCCAGAAGATGAAGGAAAAGGTAGTGGATTTCACTGAGAACTTACCAGAGTTGAACTCCCTCACTCTCTGTTGCCCAGCATTGGCAGGTTACGGGACTGGTGGCTGTGGTGTCTCAATGGTCTTTGGTCTCTTAGAAGGTGGAGAATCATCATCATCTTGAAAAAGAACATATGCTCATTACTGAAGGAACTTTCTTAGGTTACAGCCACCTCCGGGTCAATTCCCAACATTCAAAATCTGAGCAGGGCTTTAAAGCTATTTTGAGTATTAATAATTATTTCTGTATTGCGAACTTCAGCATACTTTTTTCTAGTTATATTTGAAATGTTATTCTTTTGGGATGTGCGCAAGTGAATACTGCTTTTTCTTCTGTCTTGCTTCATTACTTTTTAGTTTGCTTCATTTGAATCATCATAAGTCTCCTCTTCTCCTCAAATAGCTTTCAACTTGCTGCCAAGAACAATAATCTATTTTAAGGCTTTTGAGAAAAAACTTCCAATGAAGACAGCCACCTAAAGTTACACAAATATAGAAGAAACGGGGTAAATAAAGCTTAGATTGGAAAAAAATATTTAAGATTGTACAAAATTCAAGCACACATAAACAAGGGAAGCTGGGTAATTGTATGTTCAAATACTTTTAACAAGTGCAAAATGTGGAGGCTTAAAGAAATAGGGCTGGCCAGGCATGGTGGTTCACGCCTATAATTCCAACACTTTGGGAGGCCGAGGCAGGCTGATTACTTGAGGTCAGGAATTCGAGACCAGCCTTGCCAACATGGTGAAACCCCATCTCTACCAAAAATACAAAAATTAGGCCAGGAGTGGTGGCTCACACCTGTGATGCCGGCACTTTGAGAGGCCAAGGCAGGTACATCACCTGAGGTCAGGAGTTTGAGACCAGCCTGACCAACATAGAGAAACCTTGTCTCTACTAAAAAATACATTACCTGGGCATGGTGACGCATGCCTGTAAACCCAGATACTTGGGAGGCTGAGGCAGGAGAATCGCTTGAACCCGAAAGGCAAAGGTTGCGGTGAGTCAAGATCGCACCATTGCACTCCAGCCTGGGCAACAAGAGTGAAACTCCGTCTCAAAAAAAAAAAAAAGAGAACAAAAATTAGCCAAGAGTGGTGGCACATGTAATCCCAGCTACTTGGGAGGCTGAGGCAGGAGAATTGCTTGAACCTGGGAGGCTGAAGTTGCGGTGAGCTGTGATCACACCACTACGCTTCAGCCTGGGTAACAGAGTAAAACCCTGTCAAAAAAAAAAAAAAGGAAGAAAGAGAGAAAGCAAGCAAGAAAGCAAGCAAGCTACATTATTTATGAAACAGATACTGTTGACTCGGTCACAAGAAAGTCTGTGTATAAATGAGCAGTGAGATATTCAAGCACAGCACACACACACTACTCAGGACAGCTATCCTGAGTTCCATGCTTACTTCCTTCTGGATACACCAGCAACTCAATCTGCTATGATCCTGCAATACATCTCTTGTTAAAATTAGAGACATCTGGGCCAGGCACAGTGGCTCATGCCTGTAATCCCAACACTTTGGGAGGCTGAGGCAGGTAGATTACCTGAGGTCAGGAGTTCGAGACCAGACTGGCCAACATGGTGAACTGCTGTCTCTATCAAAAATACAAAAATTAGCCTGGCCTGGTGGCATGTGCCTGTAATCCCAGCTACTCGGGATCCTGAGGGAGAAAAATCGGTTGAACCTGGGAGATGGAGGTAGCAGTGAGCCAAAATCGTGCCACTGCACTCCAGCCTGGGTGACAGAGCAAGACTGTCTCAAAAAAAAAAAAAAAAAAAAAAAAAAGAAAGAAAAAAAATAAATTAGACATCTGGATCAAATCAGCTGCCTCTGTCATCGTCTAGTCCCGCAAAGTGTCAGGTAACGTCCTATTAAGATCGCTGCTCACATATCTATAAAATACTGAAAATATCATTTTAAAAAATCTTTTTTTTTTTATTTTGAGACGGGACTTTTGCTCTTGTTGCCCAGGCTGGAGTGCAACGGTGCGATCTCGGCTCACTGCAACCTCCACTTCCTGGGTTCAAGCAATTCTCCTGTCTCAGCTTCCCGAGTAGCTGGGATAGAAGGCATGCACCACCATGCCCGGCTAATTTTGTAGTTTTAGTAGAGACAGGGTTTCTCCACGTTGGTCAGGCTGGTCTTCAACTCCCGACCTCAGGTGATCCACCCACCTTGGCCTCCCAAAGTGCTGGGATTACAAGCGTGAGCCACCGCACCTGGCCAAGAAACCCTTATTTAAAAACAAGCCAGGTGTGGTGGCTCACGCCTATAATCCCAGCACTTTGGGAAGCAGAGGCCGGTGGATCACTTGACATCAGTAGTTTGAGACAAGCCTGGGCAACATGATGTAACCCCATCTCTACTAAGAATATATATATATATATAAAAAATTTAGCTGGGTGTGGTGGTGGGCACCTGTAATCCCAGCTTCTCAGGAGGCTGAGGCAGGAGAATCGCTTGACCCTGGGAGGTGGAGGTTGCAGTGAGCGGAGATCTTGCCACTGCACTCCAGCCTGGGAGACAACAGCAAAACTCCATCTCAAAAAAAAACAAAAACAGACCCAATTTCAAAACAAAAAGAAAAGCAAAACAAAACACAAATGTGGTACGGAAATAAAAATAATTACCGTATTAAACACAGCTTCGTAGAAAATAAAAGACCACTCAAATACAATAAGCTGTCTTTTTAGACAGGTATAATTGTTATTCTTATTTTTACAGCTTAAGAAACAGGCTCAGAGAATGTTATTTGATTGGACCATGTTGTATCTCTGGACAGTGCAGCTGAGATCAGACTTCATGTGTAACTCCACTAGCCTACCAGGGTGCCTCTCGCAAAGGTAAGAAATGTAAATTTGGCCTAATATACGAAGTTGCCACAGCAGCACTGGGTCAGTTCTACATACACTACTTCTGTGTTCATCAAGGGAAACCTTACAGGAAAGTGAAAATGTTTCTAGAAGGTGATTGGACACCAGCACATTTGCTTGTTGCCTTTGGGCTCTTCTTCTCAGGCCAACAGTAACCTGAAATTATTGACTGACTATTCCAGTCAACTGGAGAAAATGGTACCAAGGTCGCCAACATCAGACAAATTCACTTAAGGACCTATCTATGTACTTTGAAAGACAAAACTGCTTGTGAAGGATACTGTATTTCAGAAAAACAGAATCATATTAACAACTAATAACACTGTAAAATGCTGATGTGTTGAATGCTACTTTAGAAAAACATGTTCAAATCTAGGGGAAAAAATTGAAAACTACATATATAGCTAGCTAGCTAGTTAACTATCTAGAGACATGCTTTCATTCCTGGCCTCAAGTGGTCCTCCTGCCTCAGCCTCCTAAGTAGCCTGGGCCACAGGTGGACACAGTTACACCTGGGTTTTCTGTTTTGTAGAGACAGGGTTTCACTACATTGCCCAGGCTGGTGTCATACTTTGGAGTCTCGCTGTGTTGCCTAGGCTGGGGTGCAGTGGTGCAATCTCGGCTCACTGTAACCTCCGCCTTCTGGGTTCAAGGAGTAGCTGGGACTACAGGCATGTGCCACCACACCCGGCTAATTTTTGTACTTTTTGTAGAGACTGAGTTTCACCATGGCCAGGTTGGTCTCAAACTCTTGACCTCAGGTGATCCACCCACCTCGGCCTCCCAAAGTGCTGGGATTACAGGCTTGAGCCACCGAGCCTGGCCAAGCACTTTCTTGTTATTAAACAGCCTAACCCAGGCGGGGCACAGTCCCTCACGCCTGTAATCCTGATGACTCTAATGGCCAAGGTGAGAAGACCGCTTGAACCCAGGAGCTCGAAACTGGCCTGGGCAACACAGCGAGACCCCCATCTCTACAAAAATTAGGCACGTGAGCACCGCCCCCGGCCAATTTTTGTATCTTTTGTAGAGACGAGGTTTCTTCATGTTGCCTAGCCTGGTCTAGAACTCCTGAGCCCAAGCCATCCATCCTCCCGCCTCGGCCTCCCAAAGTACTGGGATGGCAGTTTTATTTGGCAGTCCCTCCCTGTTGCACACTTAGGTTTTTTTTTTACGTTTTTAGACAGGGTTTACCTCAGTCTCGCAGGCTGGAATGCTGTGGTGGGACCATAGCTCATTGGAGCCTTGAACCTTGGGGTTCAAGTAGCTGGGGGGCTGAGGTAGGACTACTGAGACAGGGTCGCGCCATGTTGCTAGACTGCTCGTGGCCTGAAGGGATCCTCCCGCCTTGGTCGCGCCTGGACATATTTTTGTATTTTTGACCGACATAAACACTGCGCTGGGTCAGAGTTTGTCAACTACCCTTCTCCAGCCAGCAACACACAGGACCTGGAGGGGAGGTCGCGGTTACCAGGCTCCACTCTCAGGAGAAAACTGCTCAGCTACTGACACTACCAACTCCGTGACACCGCCGAACACCCCAGCCTGTGACGTCGCCCCAAGGCCCATCCTTGTGACGTCACCGAAGGCGCGCGCTTGTGACGTATAACCGGCAGCTGAGCTGGCATTTTTGTGTCTGCAAGCTTCGGCCCGGCTGCCGCCGCCCATAAGCTACCGGGAGGAGCTTTACGACTTCCCCGCCTGCAGGGCCGGGCGTAGCAAAGACCAGACGCGTCACGAGCAGGCGCTGCGCCCCAACCGGCCGGCTCCTGGCGGGCCCGTTGCGGAGAAGCTCCTCAATGGCCAGCGGCAGCTGCAGCCTCCGCCGTGCACTCGTCTTACCTGATCCCGGGTACGTGCATCCCACAACACCTCCCCCAGCCAGGGCCCGAGGACCCCCGGGAGCGTCCCCCGCCACCTGGCGCGGCTCATCCTGGGCAGGGTAGGCCCCCTCTGAGGTTGCCCCGCATTAGGGAGCTGCATCGCCGAGCTCGACCTCTCAGGGGCCGTTGTAATCGCATTAAGCCTTTGAAACTTTGTAGCGGTGTAAAACGGGCTAGAAAACGAAGAAAACATCTTTTTAAAAATATAAGCGATCGGTCGGGCGCGGTGGCCCACGCCTGTAATCCCAGCACTTTGGGAGGTCGAGGCGGGTGGATCACGAGGTCAGGAGTTCAAGACCAGCCTGGCCAGCATGGTGAAACCCCGTCTCTACTAAAAGTACAAAAATTAGCCGGGCGTGGTGGCGGGCGCCTGTAATCGCAGTTACTCCGGAGGCTGAGGCAGAGAATTGTTTGAACCCGGGAGGCGGAGGTTGAAGTGTGCCGAGATCGCACCACTGCACTCCAGCCTGGGCGACAGACCGAGACTTTGTCTAAACGTGTGTGTGTGTGTGTGTGTGTGTGTGTGTGTCTGTGTGTGTGTGATCGAGCCCGGCAGGTTGAGATTACACTGAGCCGAGATTATATAAAAGATCAAGCACGGGAGGTTGAGGTTACACTCAGATGAGATTGCCCCGTTGCACTCCAGCCTGTGTGACAGAGGGATACTCTGTCTCTAAAACCTTACATGCAAGTGAGAGCTTTTCTTCCGGCGCTCATGCTCAGACTGAAGGAAGTAATTGGGCCGGGCCCAGTGGCTCACGCCCGTAATCCCATACTTTGGGAGGCCGTGGCGGTGGATCGCTTGAGCTCAGGGGTTCCAGACTAGCTTGGGCAACATGGTGAAACCCTGTCCCTACAAAAATACAAAAAATTAGCTGGGCATGGTGGCACGCGCTTGTAGTCCCTGCTGCTTGTAGGGCTGAGGTGGGAGGATCGCTTGAGTCCAGGAGGTGGAGGCTGCACCTCCTGGGCTCAGGCAATCCTTTTCAGCCTCCCAAAGTGCGGGGATTACACTGTATTTTAATGCTTTTTTTGAAAATGGAAACTTTTACAGGCAATTCACTTCCTTCAAGCTAATGATAAGGAAATGATGCTATTCTGTTTTGTTTTCTGTTTGTGTGTGTGTATGTGTGTGTTTTCTTTTTTGAGACAGGGTCTTGCTCTGTTGCACAGGCCAGGTGCAGTGGCTCATGCATGCCTCTAATCCCAGCTACACAGAAGGCTGAGGCAGGAGAATCGCTTGAACCCAGGAGGCAGAGGTTGTAGTGAGCCGAGATCGCACCACAACACTAATGCCAACATGCCCAGCTAACTTTAGCATTTTTTAGTAGAGACTGTGTTTCACCATGTTGGCAAGGCTGGTCTTGGACTCCTGACCTCAGGTTATCCACCTGCCTTGGCCTCCCAAAGTGCTAGGATTACAGGCATGAGGCACTGTGCCTGGCTAATTTTTGTATTTTTAGTAGAGGCGGGGTTTCACCATGTTAGCCAGACTGGCGTTGAACTCCTGGCCTTAAGTGATCCACCTGCCTCAGCCTCCCAAAGTGCTGGGACTACAGGTGTGTGCCACCGTGCCCGGGCCCCCTTTATTCCTTACAATCATGCAGTTCTAACTCAGCATTCAGAGGTAGATTTTTCACTTGCAGCAGAGGCAGTAGAGGTTTTGGAAATGCTCCTTGAGGCAGACACTACACCCCGATTTCATGGAGTGCTCTGGGCTGAGCCAAGTCTGCAGTAGGCAGAAGGCTCTGAGAAGTCGTCCCAGCCTGGACAAAGAACAGTTCAGAGCTCTGGGGCACAGGGGTGTGCTCAGCAGGACTGGGTGGACAGGACCTTTGTTGCGAAGGTGAAGAGCGCAGGCTTCCAGGAGCAGGTGCCTGACAGACAGGCTTCTTTGGGAGGTGGCCAGAGGAGATGTCTGTTTGCTGGGGCAGGAATTGGAGGGAGCCGCCCAGCCTGGAGAGGTTCAGCCAGGCTGTCACAGGCTTTTGAAACTTCCCATCTGAGAGTCTGCACTCCCTGTTTGCTTGATGCATTAATAAATATCCCACCCAAATCTGCAACCATCCACTCCTGTGTTCAAGAGCTGTTTCAGGGAGTCAACCTCATTTTTGGCAGTGTCCAGCCCACTGACCTCAGCTCTGTGTGCCTCGAAGGGTGGCTCTCCTCTGGGGGGATAGGATTCGGAGGCGGGGGGAGAAAGAGTGATGTTAGAGAGCTCGGTCTAGGACTAGAGGATCATGTGCCCTTATGTAAAATACATCTCAAGTTAGGGAAGAAAGCAGTGGCTTTATGCTTTGTGTGTGTGTGTGTGTGTGTGTGTGTGGTGTGTGTGTGTTTCTTTTGTTTGTTTTGAGACAGGGCTCTATGGACCCGGCTCTATGGATCAGGCTGGACTGCAGTGTGATCCTGGCTCACAGCAACCTTCACCTCCTGGGTTCAAGCAATTCTTATGCCTCAGCCTCCCAAGTAGCTGGTGTTAAACAGATATGTGCCACCATGCCTGGCTAATTTTGTATTTGTAGTAGAGACAGGGTTTTGCCATGTTGGCCAGGCTGATCTTGAACTCCCAACCTCAAGTGATCTACCCACTTGGCCTCCCGAACTGCTGAGATTAAAGGTGTGAGCCATCGTGCCTGGCCCCGTGTTGTGTTCTGATGGGGGAGGATGGGAGGGTGTTCGAGCCCTTCCTGGACTGACGGAACCTGTGTCTTCTGCCTTCTGTGGACAGGATGGTGATTGCTCACGCCAAAGCCCTTGGACCCCTCCCGGCCTGTGACCTTTGTGACCAACTCCAACTATGCAGCGGACAAAGGGGTGAGCCTGGGGGTCCCTACCCCATTTTTCCCCACCTTGCCTGGGCTTGTCCTGAAGTCTGCTCATGGGAACAGCTGGAAAGGACCATGAGCTGCCAGCCAGGGATTTTTTATTTTGTTTTTTTACTTGAAAAGATAGAGACAAGGTCTTGCCATGTTGCCCAGACTGGTCTCGAACTCCTGGGCTTCAAGCGATCCTCCTGCCTCAACCTCCCAAAGGGCTGGGGTTACAGGTGTCGGCCACCGCACTCAGCTGCAGCCAGTCTTTTTTCATAGATGGTCTTTGGGTTAATGAGAATTCTCTCCCTGCTTACTCGCCAGGCAGGTGGGCTTTCCTGAATCAGGGAGGCTGGGCATAGGGAGATGGGATTTGTTTGCTCAGTTTGGACTCAGCGTTTTTTTGCACTTTGATTTAATAGAGTCATAGAATGTCAAAGGTTTAAGGGGGCTTAGAGTTCATCTGGCCCCACACCTGGATGTTCAGAATCTCTAGGGGAATTTTTTTCGAAATGGCAGATCTCTGCATTCTGAGATCCTGATTCAGTAACTCCAAAGTTGGAGCCTGCATTTTTTTTTTCTTCTGTAGAGGCAAGGTCTTACTCTGTTGCCCTGGCTGGAGTGCAGTGGTGCAATCACAGCTCACTGTAGCCTTGAATTACTGGCCCAAGGATACTCCTGCCCTCTCCTGCCGCTCATCCTCCCGAGTAACTGGGACTTCAGGTGTGCTGGGCTAATTTTAGATCTTTTTGCAGAGATGGGATTGCACTATATTGCCCAGGCTGGTCTCAAACTCTTGAGCCTCAAGTGATCCTCCAGCCTTGGCCTCCCAAAGTGGTGGGATTACAGACACAAGCTGCCATGCCTGGCTGACATTAGCATTTTTTTTTTTTTTTTTTCTTGGAGATGGAGTCTTGCTCTGTTGCCCAGGCTGTAGTGCAATGGTGCAATCTTGGCTTACTGCAACTTCCTCTGCCCGAGTTCAAGCAATTCTCCTGCCTCGGCCTCCAGTGTAGCTGGGATTACAGGCCACGATACCACGCCTGCTAATTTTTATATTTTTTAGTAGAGACAGGATTTTGCCATGTTGGCCAGGCTTGTCTCGAACTCCTGACCTCAGGTGATCCACCCACCTTGGCCTCCTAAAGTGCCGGGATTACAGGCATGAGCCACCGCACCCAGCGAGCATTCTTACTAGAAAGTAGTGTGTTCAGGACGCATTAGAAACTAGCCAGTTGGACACAGAAGCATCTGCTGCTCAGCCCTGAGCACCAGTTTGCTGAAGCTGATGGTGGTCCTACTTGGTCATCTCTGCCCCTCCTAGGTGGGACTCTTTCAGGCCCTCTGCAGCCCACAGTGCTGCCTCATGAAAGCTGCCTCAAGATTCTCTGTGATGGGCCGGGCGCAGTGGCTCAAGCCTGTAATCCCAGCACTTTGGGAGGCCGAGATGGGCAGATCACGAAGTCAGGAGATCGAGACCATCCTGGATAACACGATGAAACCCCATCTCTACTAAAAAATACAAAAAACTAACCGGGCAAGGCAGCGGGCGCCTGTAGTCCAGCTACTCAGGAGGCTGAGGCAGGAGAATGGCGTAAACCCAGGAGGCGGAGCTTGCAGTGAGCTGAGATCCGGCCACTGCACTCCAGCCTGGGCGACAGAGCAAGAGTCCGTCTCAAAAAAAAAAAAAAATTCTCTGTGATGGCCGGGCATAGTGGCTTACACCTGCAATCCCAACATTTTGGGAGGCCAAGGCGGGTGGATCACTTGAGGTCAGGAGTTAGAGACCAGACCAGCCAACTGGTGAAACCTTGTTTCTACAAAAATACAAAAAATTAGCTGGATGTGGTGGCACGCACCTGTAATCCCAGCTACCTGGGAGGCTGAGGCATGAGAGCACTTGATCGTGGGAGGCAGAGGTTGCAGTGAGCCGAGATGATGACACTACATTCTAGCCTGGGCAACAGAGTGAGACTCTGTATCCAAAACAAAACAGAAAAAGATTTTCTGTGAGAATGACTGCATCGGCCCCTCAGGTGGAGCGCTTCTCCAGGGCAAGGTAAGTCCAGGGCAAGTCCCAGTGATGGGACTGCTGCCTGGAGAGGAGTCAGCTCCAGTGGCGGGGGCCCTCGGCTTTGGCTGAGGACTGCGCGTTGGCAGCTGCTCTGCCTCTCACAGTCCTTTTCAGCTGCGCACGTCAGTGCAGAGTCACAGGCCTGCCTCCTTTGGGCTACTTTGTGACCGTTTCCTGCCTGTGGGGCAGGGTAATTTCAGGATCTAAATTGGTGAACTTGGATGTTCTCAGTCCCGAGAGGCAGCTCTTCCTCTTCTAGTTTTTTTGTTTGTTGTTTTGTAGAAATGGGGTCATGCGATGTTGCCCAGGCTGGTCTCAAACTTCCGTGCTGAAGCGATCCTCCCACCTTGGCCTCCCAGTGTGCTGGGATTACAGGCATGAGCTACTGTGCCCTTAATTGTCTTACTACTATACTTTTAGAGCTGAGGTCTTGATGTGTTGCTCAGGCTGGTCTCGAACTCCTGGCCTCAAGCCATCCTCCTGCCTCAGCCTCCCTGAGTGCCTCGATTACATCCTCTTCTTACCTTCTCTGCCAGAAGAGCCCCCAAAGCATGTGAGTTCTGAATCATGGAGTCTTCTGGGTGCTGAACGGGCTCTCCTGCTCTGGTCCTAGGCTCCGTATGTGGATGTGATCTGTGTGAACAGCTGCTACTCTTGATATCATGACTACAGGCACCTGGAATTGATTCAGCTGCAGCTGGCCACCCAGTTTGAGAAGTGGTGAAGATGTTTCAGAAACCCATTATTCAGAGCAAGTACAGAGCGGAAATGATTGCAGGGTTTCATTAGGTAAGTGCTATTGAACTTTCTGCTTATGTGTTATCTCGGGACAGAGATGTCACTCGCCTCCCCCGGCCTGCCCTGCGCCCACTGCACTGTTCCCCTCTCTTCAGCTTTGGGCTCACCTCCCTCTGTCCCGTCCATATTCCCTTCCTGCCAGCAGCCAGGCCTCTGCCCACTCGCTTGGTCCTCAGAGGTGGCCTCCTTA